GGGCCGCGGTAGCCGGAGCGGGACAGGCCCGGCGCGGGAGGGAGCGGAGCAGCGCGGGCAGCAAGCGAGTGAGCGCGTGGGGCCCGGAGGGGCCACTGCCCACCTGGGGGCTGGAGACGGCGTGGGGGTCTGAGCTGCGTCCAGGGCTCTGGGCATACCCCCCAGAGACGCCCCCCGGCTGTGCGCCGGGACTAGCAGCGAGGGGCTGGCCCCTCAAGTCCTCCCGCCGCCGCCGCATGAACGGCCCGACTCTTTAGGCCTGAAAAATGGGAAAGGGGGTGGGCGGCCCATGCACGCGGCTCTCTAGTGGGGAAGGGGACGGGTGGGGGAGGGGGATTCTGACCCGAGCTCTCCCCGCAGGATGCAGCACCGAGGTTTCCTCCTCCTCGCCCTTCTCACCCTGCTGGCGCTCGCCTCCGCGGTGGCCAAAAAGAAAGGTGATGTGGGGTTTGGGATAGGAGGGCTGGAGACGGGCAGGTGAGGCCGGCCACCTCAGGGCTGGCCGCCTGGGTTCCGAGCCCCGGGCCGCAGTTAGGGATCCGCGAGTGAGTCTCCGTGTCCTGGGTCCTGAGCTCTGTTCTCCGCGCGTTTTAGACAAAGTGAAGAAAGGCAGCCCGGGGAGCGAGTGCGCGGAGTGGGCCTGGGGGCCCTGCACCCCCAGCAGCAAGGACTGCGGCGCGGGTTTCCGCGAAGGTGCCTGTGGGGCCCAGACTCAGCGCATCCGGTGCAGGGTGCCATGCAACTGGAAGAAGGAGTTCGGAGGTAAGGTGCGGCGCAGGTAGAGGGCAAGAAATGGGGCAGAGTCTCGATGAAACCTGAGCAGGACTGTGGAGCGAGCTCGGCCTCAGGCCGCCCAGCTCTGACCCTGGGCACTCTCCCGCCAGCCGACTGCAAGTACAAGTTTGAGAACTGGGGATCGTGTGATGGGGGCTCAGGCACCAAAGCTCGCCAAGGCACCCTGAAGAAGGCGCGGTACAATGCCCAGTGCCAGGAGACCATCCGCGTGACCAAGCCCTGCACCCCCAAGACCAAAGCCAAGGCCAAAGGTCAGCCTAGGGAAGAGGGGGCGGGGTCATGGCAGGGGCTGCCCCCACCTGTGAGGGGAATGGTTAAACCTGAGGGTTTGTGCCCTGGTGAGTGACTTATTGACATCACTGCATTTCGTTTCCCTGCCTGTTAGAGATACCTTTACCTTAGGTGAGCAAAGCATGTACTGAGGTTGGCCCATAGAGGTACTCAAGAGACAGTACGTTCTTCTGGCCCCGGTAAGAACAGTCACACTGTTCTGTTGGAGCAGCTGGCTCAGAATCCAGTGAAATAGTCCTGGAAGGGCTTAGGTTTGTCACCTCTCCAGAGGTACTGAGTATTTGGTCTACTCTGCCCTTTCTAGTATAGGAAGGGCTTCACTGTCTATGCTTCCTCCATCCCGTAGCTCATTCCTGACTCTCAGCATCCCAGAGAGGCCAACAGGGCAGAGGCGAATCTGCCCACTTTCAGACGAAGAGGCCAAGGCTCTTGTCCCAGGCTGCTGGGACCAGGAACTTGGAGTTGATCTGATCCTCCTCAGTGAAAGTATAAGTTGGAGGAGTGGGGGGGATAGTGGCAGCGGAATGTCTGCCCTGTCACATGGCTTTCAGGTCAGCTGGTTGAGAACCACTAGGGAGAAGGATTTTTTCCTCCCTGATGTGTAGGGGGATCTTTACTGGGTCACTTGAACTCTCCTAATTCGTATTTCTTGTTTTACAGCCAAGAAAGGGAAGGGAAAGGACTAGCAGCCAGGCCTGAATGCCAAAGAGCCCCTGGCCCACGCCCACCCTCCTGCAGACCCAAGATGTAACCCGCCAGTGCCTTTTGTTACTCATCAGCTTTATCAATCATGCCCTGCCTCCTCCTCTTCCCTCCCCCGCCCCCGCCCCCAAGCGCCCAAAGTGGGGAGGGGCAGGGATTCTGGGCAGCTTGAGCCTTCCTCCCAAAGGGATTTGATTCCCATCCCCCTTTTGTTCTTCCCCACAATGATGCCATCACTGAAAAACAAGTGGTCTTTTTTTTTCCCAATAAAAGCTTTTTTTTTTTAATATATAAAAGCCCCTTCCGGGGGAGTTTGCTGTGGTAACTTGTTGAGGGGGGGGAGGACGTAGTGGGAAGAGAAGGTTCGAGAGAACGGTGACTTTCTTGGAGGCTTGATGCTCCCCAGAGCTCATGGAAAGCTCATGGAAAAAGCTAAACAGTTAAGAAAATTTCTTCCAGGGCCCTCTGCTGACCCATGCATGAAAGGGTGCCCCCATCAAGTCCCCTGAGCCTTTCAGTCTTGGTTTCTCTGGGCAGGAGGGCGGGGCACACCAGAGCTGGAGGAGGGAACCCAGAAAACTCACTAGAGCTGACACTCCCATCTCAGCCTCACCCAGGCAAAGGTCTTTATCCGTCCAACCCAGTGCCAATCAGGAAGGCTCTATCCACCCGCGGGGCAGGGATGGCGGTTGCTTGCCAGCCTTACAACCCATATCCCCATTGGTACTAAAGTGTGGGTAAAGTCCATTCTATTCTCTGGTTACCGAGGCCTCCTTCAAACTGCAGAGCCCAGTGGGGAACACTGCCCACCACTGCCCCACCTTCCCTATGTGCCACCTGAGACAAGCCCTCTTCTTGGGGAGAGGGGAGGGCTCTTCAGAAGCATTTGGGCCATTCCTTGCTCAGACTGAGACCACAGGATGCCAGACCTCAGTTCCTCAGTGAATCCCAGAATCCCTGACCTTTCAGCTGGCCCATCCTGAACCTGACCAGGACTGTGCTGGAGCGGGGAGCAAGATTGCCTCAGAGCCCACTCTGCCTGGCCCATAGTCAGCCCACCCACCCATCCAACCAGAACCTGGCTGAGTAGCTGCAGCAAGGGGAGATTTCTACCCCTGATGTGGGATTTGGGAAGAGAGGGCTGAGTCTACATGCGGGGTGCAGGGGGCAGAAAGCACCGATTATAACAGAATGAGGGACCCTACTCTTCCCTTCCCTTCCCCAGCCTTCTTTCCCAAGCGCTGGCCTCTGCTCCTCCCAAGGGGGTCCTGGGCTCCTGCTCCCCTCCAGATGTCCCTTCTTTCAGCCACACTATTTGGTCATAGTGGGGCAGGTGCCCACATAGGCCAGTGCTCCCCAGCTCCCTGAGGCAGGACAACAGAGATGGGTCAGGCAGTCCCGGATCAGACATCTGGGGCTGACCCTCCTCGGCCTGAACAGAGATCTGGTCTGTCTGAATCCAGCCAGAGCCTTTTCCTGAGTCTCACAGCGTCTTGGGAACCTCAGTTCTCCTCTTCAGCAAACACGAACACGGAGAGGAGCTTCCAAATCTCACCCCCACTGCAGCTGAGCCATGTGGTCCCCCAGTACACACATGCGACCACCAGCACCTCCTATGGCACTCCTGCCTGCCTACCTGGCAGTGCCAATGTTCCGATACTGGCATAGCAGCAGGTGCCTGAAGGTTTTTTTGAAGGTGGCATTGCAGAGGGCATAGCAGGCAGGGTTGATGGTACTGTTGACATAGCAGAGCCAGTAGCCAATGGACCACACTGTGTCAGGGATGCAGCTCTGGCAGAAGGTGTTCACCAGGACCATGACGTTGTAGGGCGTCCAGGTGAGGATGAAGGCCAACAGAATGGCAAAGATGGTCCGTGTCACCTTGCGTTCCCGGGCTGCCATCTGCCGCTTCTTGCGCACCTGGTTCCGGGCGATGCTGGCAAATTTGCGGGCCACATTGGCTGCCGGACGCATACCAGCTGGCGTGGCGGGCACAATCTCGATGGCTGTTACACACTCATTGCCTGTCTGCTTCGTCACAATCTGAATCTTGGACCATTTGGAGGCCGGGTTGAGGGCCCGTGGCTGTAGGGGAGGGGCGGGCATGGCAGGCGTGGTGGCCTCTGTGGTTGACAGCTCCGTGAGTGGTCGTTCCTTGGTGTTCTGGGTGGCACTGCCTGAGCTGGACTCATTGGAAGTGTCCTTGTCGGCCATCGGGCGCGGTGGGGGTGGCAAGACGGGTGGAGGGGCCTCCTCTAGCTTCCCGTTGCGCAGCTCCTCTCGAGCAGCTTCTCCCGGCGGGGGTTTCTTGACACTTTGCTTCATGAGGGGGCTCTTGAGAAAGGCCAGAGTCTTGGCCTTCTTCTCCTTAGGGCCTTCGGGCCGGTGCTTGTGAACTCGGCTGCGACTGGCCAGGGAGATGTGAATATAGAGCACCGTCATGATGACCACGGGCAGATAGAAGGCAGCGATGGCCGTGCCAAAGGTCACCGCCGGGTTGGACAGGAACTGGATGAAGCACTGATTGTCTGGCACTGTCCGCTTGCCCACCACAAATTGCCAGAACAAGATGGCAGGCGCCCACAGCACAAAAGACAGGACCCAGGCAGCAGCGATCATGAGGCCTGCCATCTTGGTGGTGCGCCGGGCTGGGTAGGTGAGGGGCTTGGTGACGCAGAAGTACCGATCAAAACTGATAATGAGAAGGTTCATGACAGAGGCATTGCTCACCACATAGTCCAGGGCCAGCCACAGGTCACAGACCACGGCGCCCAGAGGCCAGTAGCCCTTGATGATGTACACGGTGTAGAGGTTCATGGAGAAAGCGCCTATGATGAGATCAGCACATGCCAGGCTGAAGAGGAAGTAGTTGTTGACTGTCTGCAGCTGCCTGTTGACCTTGATGGACAGCATCACCAAGATGTTGCCCACGACAGTCACCAGGCTCAGCGAGCCTGTCACCGTGGCGATGAATACCATTTCCACCGTCTCATAGCGGTTATGGGCTGATGTGACGAGGCGCACAGACTGGTTGCCAGCGCTGCCATTGACTGGCGTGAAGTTCGCCATTTTGGTTCGCAGGGATGAGTGGGCAGTGTCTGGAAGGGAAGGAGAGAAAAGAGGTGAACGGCCGAAGTGGGTTAGAGGGGTAAGGCGGAGGAAACTAGAGTCCACGTGACAGAGAAACATCGCCCTGCAGAGCCTTAGAGAAATGCCTCCTCGCTTCCTCGTTTGTTCGGTCATCACTCATCGAGCGCCCACTGTGTGCAAGCGTTCGGCGCTGCGGTTACAGAAGCGAATGAGACACATTATGGAGAGTTTACAGTCTGATTAGGGGAGACGTACAAACATCTAAGCAACGAAAAAAGTGCTGGAAAGAAAGTGAGGCACAGTGATAGGACAGTGAGTGAATCGGAAGACAGGGTGTTCCCTACTGGGTCGTCGGTGAAGGCCTCTCCAGGGGGTGATCGGCCACATGAAGTGAAGAGTTGCGGAAAGTGGCCTAGTCAAGGGCAATGGCGAGAGCAAAGGCCCTGAGGCATGTGTGTGAGGCCAGGACAGTGGGTCAGTGTGGGTGGGGCCCAGGGAATCTAGGGTGGGGAGGGGATGAGTGGTCCCAGATGTCAGCATGTGACTCTGGTCAGAAACGTTCATCATTCAACCCCTTGGTCACTTCTTTAGCAAACATTACCAGGGGGCCTGCTCTCCCATCCCTACAGAAGGTACTAGGCACAAAGACGAGAATACTATTAGCAGCTAACATTTATTGTCCACTAAATGCCAGATACTTTCTACACTTTTTCTAAGTATTAACTCATTTCATCTTCACAACAGACCTAGGAGATAAATACCATTATTTTTCACTACTTACAGATGGGGAAACTGAGGCACAGAAGTGTTAACCTAACCAAGGTTCCACAGCTCCTTAGTCCCATGTTGCTGTCCCAGAGCTATGAGTTCTGGCAGAGGGAGGCCCAAGGAGTCACAGGAGCCAGTGATCCCCCCTGGGGGAGGGGACCCAGAGGACCAGAGGAGGTGGCATGGAGCTTGGAGCCTTGAGGATGAGGAAGAGAGTGCCATGCGGAGAAGCTCTGGGAGGTACATACCACTGTGGCCTCCCTCCTGGAGCCCTCACCCCCACCCGAGGACACGGGCATGCAGGGCAGGGTAGCTGGCGTGCGTAAGCAGCCCGGGGCTGAGACCCTTAGCAATCAGAAGCTAAAGGGCCCATCAGCTGAGGAAATACACACATGGCTTCCCAGAGGCCAGGGCCAGCCCCAGGGCCTCTAGGAGAATCCGAAGGGTGAGAGAGTGGCCCAGAGACAGGAGAGGGGCTGCTGCAAGGGAGCCTGTGGCCTGACCCTGAGGGTGGCCCTTGACCCACCAGCGTTCCAGCTGGGGTCCCCCAAGCACAAGGCCCGTTCCCCGAGCCTGCGCTCCCTCCCACCCAGGCTCCTCTCCATCTCTCATCCCCCTTTCCTCTCTCATGTATGTGAAGGAGGCCCACGCCCAGTGTGCTGTGCCAGGGCAGCCGCTCAGCCCAGCTCCTTCACACCCGCCAACACACGCACCATTACACACACGCACGGGCCCCATCACAGCCCCACCAGTCCCGCAGCGCACTGTCATATACGCAATTCTGTGCGTCTGTGTGTGAGAGAAACAGAGAGGGAGAGGCAGTGGGCGTGGAAGGAAGGAGAGAGGGAGAGAGGAAGGGAGAGGCACTCACCCTTCAGCCTTGGCTTCAAGGCCAGCACGGGGTCTAGCTGTGTGGTCTTAGAAAAGCCACCTCACTTCCCCCCCACCCCCCACCCCGCACCTCTCTCATTTGCAAATATAAAGGACTCCTGCTGGGACAACCTCCCACCTGAGTAGCTACAGCAACTAAACTCCATCTCCAGTATGAAAATGCACTGGAGCCTGCAGCCAAGTGCCAGGGTGACCCCCCAAACCTGGCCTCAGGTCCCCTACTCCACCACCGCAGACACAGACAGCCTCCTGGCCTGGTAGTTCAAATTCGCATGCCCAAATCCTTGGCTCACTGGAGGAGAGACTCAGAGAGGGGCGATGCCATCCCCCAAGGTCATAAATGAGTCAAGGGCAAAGACCAAATATCGCCCTCTCCCAGGGTGTCTAATAGCCCCTTTCACCTCTGAGAGCCTCTGAAATAACACCTCAGGGGTCACCCTCTGAGCTGGTAGGGCAGAACCACCCAGCACGGAGAGGTTGCCCTCCTCAGGCACAAGCAGGCTCGTGCCGGCTGGGCAGGAGCAGGCTGGTCAGGAGCAATCTGTCAACCAGCCCGAAGGAAAGCCAGGCTTTAGCCCCTCAGAGCAAGGACACAGGCTAGCAAGATCAGAACCAAGCAGGAGATGCCAAATAGGAAAAACATAATAGCTCTCGTTTATGGAGTGTTAACTATGAGTCAGGAGTCCCTCTGAGCTTTTTATATAGATTACCTGGTTTAATCCTTAGGCAACCTGAAAGGGCAGGTACTACTAGGATCCTCATTTTACAGATGTGTCTTCTTACAGATGTTGATAGTGTTAATTAACTTGCCCAAAGACACTCAGTGTGTAAGTAGGGATGGGGGCAGGATTAAAACCCAGGAGCCACCTTCTCAACCCCAAGATGGTAATGCTTCAGAGTTGATTTTCCTGCCTCTGCTCTCCCCGCTTCCAAAGCACACAACTAGGGGTAGGTCAGGGGAGACCTGGGTAGGGACCCTTCCCATTCCATGGCGGCTGCCCCCACTTAGCTTTCAGGAAGAGATCTCTCTCTCTTATCTCCATTGGGGATATCTTGTCTCCAGTGATGTGGAGGGTGCTTTTTAGTCCCGCTCTGGGCCCGCTTGGGGAAACTGTCAGCTGCAGACAGGGTGAGGCGCAGTGTCTCCCCGTCCCCTACCCCAATTGTCTTTCTGGACCCCTCAGGGCCTTCCACAGGCATTCTGACCGCAACACTCCCCAGCGCGTTTCTCTGGGATCCAGGCCGGCCTGGAATCTGGGGAGGCGAGCAGCCCCGCCCAGGGCTGTGCTCACCGCTAGATGGCAATGTGGATCCCTGGGTGCCTGCTCCGGACCCAGAGCGGGAACAGCTCTTGGCCACCGCCCCCAACTCCAAGACCGCGAACACAGAGGAAGCCTCGCTAGGGCCTCCCAGAGCGGAGACGTGAGGCCCCTTCACCAGGCCCCGCCCGGGGGGCTGCGCTCGGCTGCGCGCAGAGTTCTATGGTGGGAAAGTTAAGGGCGCCGGGATTCCACACGGCACCCGGTGAGGAACGTGTGGGCGGGAAGGCGAGTGCGAGTTCTGTTTGTGTGTGCTTACTGGGGAGCGCGAGTAGAAGCTAGTAGCTGTCTGCATGTGCGTGTGTGTGCGCGCTCAGCCACGCCTGGATACCAGTGCGCCCCGAGAGCGCGTGAGCATGCCCGTGCCATGTGGACACGTGCATGTGCATGCCTGTGCGTGCCTGGAGTGCTGTGGCCTGGGGGTTGCCCACGGTTCGGGTGTGCCTGTGCCTGTTGGCTTGTGTCACGAGCAAATGCAGGGCAGTGAGTGACCCGCCACATTCCAAACACCCCTGCCAGGAGACTCAACCCAGACCCTGCCTGTCTGGGCGCAGAGAAAGTCTGGCAGAGAGCTGGGGTTTGGATCGCGCCTCGGCTGTGGGTGGGGAAGGGTCCGGGACAAGACAAAGCCTGACTACCTCTGCGAAGGTCCCCTGAGCTTGGGGCATCATGTTAGCTGAGGACTCAGTGGTGTCGTGTCTCCAAAGCCTCTGTGCAAAGTCCCAGCCTCGGACTGACTTGTGTCAAGAAGCCGCTGCTAGAGTCTCCCCACCCAGTCTTGCGGGACACCAGGTTCGGCTCATCGTCCCCTCTGCGTGTTATTGCCAAAGGACACCCGCAAGAGGGTGCGGGCAGCACTCCCATAACCGGGAGGCCCAGTCGGGGCTTTGGTTAGGGGAGAGTAAGATTTTCTTCCCACACTCCTAACCCTGTCTCATGCAGGAGAAGCACCGTCTGGCCCCAGCGGCAAGAGTGAGTGAGCATCGGTTTCTCAAGCCCAGGGATTGGGCGGGCCTCGAGGGCCTGGTTGGGAGTTATTACTGGGCCCATCTGGACGCTCCTCCACGTCGCCATGGTGGTCGATGGGGCTCTGTCTCTCCAGTGCCCCGCCCTCCCCCAACCCCTTAGCACGCAGTTCCTGCAGCCTCTGGGCGTGGGCACCATGCTTTGTCGGGTCCTGGAGCTCCCCCCAACCCCTTTTCCCGACCAAATGGGAGCGCGTGCTCTGGACGTCTTTGGGGGTGGGGTGGGTTCTTAGGATTTTACTCTAGGGCTCCGGTAAGGCTGGGCCCCTGGATGTGTCCCTGGGGTGGGAGAGGAGATTCAGGAGTTCAGTGCAGGAAGAAGGAACACAGGGGTTTGGTACCGACATTGCGCCTGACACTTCAACCACGGGTTTCGGGGTTGAGCGCTGGATCTCAGCAGCTGAGTCTGGGCAACAGCGAGGGGGTATTCCTGAAGTGGGGGACGGGCGCAAAGAGAGGGCAGGGGTGTTTTCCGTCGGGGTTCAAGGTCGCTGATGGAGGACTCCATGGCCAGGAGTGGGCTGGCAGTGCCGGGGGTGCGGGGAGACGGGCGGGAAAAAGGCCGTTTGGGGCTCCAGCGCCCGGCGCCCTGCAGAGCTGCCACTGGGAGGGCTGGAGTGTAGGATCCCGCCCCGGACGGCGGCCCCTGGCTCCTTGCGGGCTGTGAGTGGGCACACCCTACGGACCTCCTGAATGTCCGTTCCTTCTCAAAGGCGCACATGGAGGAGCCTCCGAGACAACTGGGCCTTTCTTCCAGCCCTGTGCAGCTACCATCACCGCGCTCAACCCCCGAAGAAGCCTAGGGCCCCGTCCCAGTCGGACCAGCCTCTGAGGAGCCTCAGGGTCCGGGAGCCCCGTGTCCTTCTCCCCAACCGAGTCCCCCGCCCCCGCGCCGCCGCGGAGTCACTTACCAGACACCTCCTCCCCGCTCCCCTCGCACCTGACAGACGGCGGGATAGGAGGGCGGCCCCGCGGGCCAGCGGGTGGGGCGGGCGGCCGGACTCGCGCTCACGCTCGCACTTTTCCCCGAGCCGCGTGATGTCACGGGGAAGCAGCCAATCCTGGTGGAGCCGCGCCGCCCGCCTCGGGCCGGCCACCCAACGAGGACGCGCAGGGGGCACCACCCGGGGCGTCGGGGACCCCAGCTACGCGCGCCCATCACTGGAGAGGACCAGCAGCCCCGCCCTGCTCGAGCACTCTTGGGGCACCACCCACGGTCGAAAGTGCTGCTTAGCTGGGTGCTCTGCCCTCTTGTAGGCTGGGGGGTGGGGTGGGGTGTCCGCGTTGTCATGGGGACGCGGCGCCCCCTCGCGGGCTGGGAAGAGAGCTAGCAGACCCGTCAGGCTGTGCTCCCCGCCTCCGCTCTGACCAGGTGCCTAGAGCAGGAGGTTGTCTCGCGCCGCGCCCGGACCTCACTTCCTACATCGCCCCGCGCGCAGTTGGACCGCGGAGGCAGGAGTGTTTGACCCCAACAGGAGGTTATATGTGGGTGGGGTCAGCTCTGCCGCCACAGTTCCGTCGGGGCAGAGAGCCGAGGGCCGGCAGTTTCCAACCTCGGGGCTGCTTGCTGGCCCCGGGACAGCCAAAGAAGAGGGGCGCCGTCGGGGATTGGGGAGGAGCTGGAGAGAGAAGATCGGAGACCGTCCACCAGGGAGAGAGGAGCCCGCCCATCGTACGCAACCCCTACTCCCGCCACCTGGTTCCCTGGTCCCACACTCCAGGACGGGAAAGGGATGGGCTCCCTTTCTCCAGTCCCGGGATGGGATGCGCAGCCCACTCAGCCGAGGCCTGAAGGGCAAGTTCACTGATGCCTGTGAGGGAAAGCCGAATGCCCAAGGTCACCTGGAGTGGAGCCCAAAATGAGACCCCAGAGGGCGAGCCGCCGGTCTCTTGAGGTCTCTGGGAACCGCACGAGCCGGAGCCTCGGGACTTGGGGCCTTGCCTGCAATGAGCGAGAGGGCCCGGGAGTCCGCGGCTGAGATGTCCGCGAGACAGAGAGCCGGGCGGCTTCAGCACCTCGGAGAGCTCCGCCTCCGCTCTGACCTTGCAGGCTCTGCTCCGCGCGACCAGGCAGGCACCCGCGCTTCTGCCTCCCTCTGGGACTGCCGTCCCTGGTGACGGCCAGGGTCCGATTCGCCCCCAACGCCTGGATCCGAGGCAAGTCACCCCAAAGCCTATGAGCGCAAACACCTTAAGACGGTTGGTTCCTTTTTGGAAAACCAACTCAAGTCCCGCCTCTCCTTCACCCTCACCCAAGGACTGGGCGGGGGGCTGTGCGTGGGGTGGGGGTAGGGAAGTGGAGGCGGGTACACAGTGGAGGAGAGACAGCAGGAGCTGCCAGAAAAGGGGCGGGAACGCGAGCAAGAGCCAGCGCTTTCAGGACTCTTGGTGTGCAGTTCTTAAGTCCAACGCCGAGGTAGAGGGCGGAGGTCCGGTCCTCAGTGCCCTCAAAGGCGCGGGCTAAAATTGGCTGCCTGGGCTAGAGAAGCCATTGTCTTTTACATAATTATCTGGTTTTTCATGATCCTCATAACCAAAGATGAAAGAAGCACTATTGTTCTTGCCCCCACTTCACAGATGAACAGGCTTAGTTGGTTCACATGACAATTAGGTGACAGTTCTGCAGAATGTTAAGTGTGTGTGCGCAGGAGTGGGATCAGGGGAGGCCAAATACAACAGTCAGATGGGGAGACAAGCAAGACCAAGAGGCTACAGAAACCAGAAATGTCTCCAACCATTGCCTTGAGTTCTGCCAGAAACTCAGGCAAAGCAGCTCCAGTTTTTCTAAAATCCTTATTATGGGGTAGGGCCTTTGGCTTTCCCCAATCCAGGAATCCACAGCAGAACCGTGGAGAGCTGAGTTGGGAACCAGAGACCTGGTTTAGTCTTTCTTCTCTGCCTTTGATCCAGCGGGGTCCAAAGACAACTTGGGTCCATCCAACTTCTCCGGACCTACTTCATCATCTCCAAATGAGATTGCCAAGCTCTGTCCTGCTGACCCCACCACCTTGTTATGACATGCGAGGCCCCATGAAGGTTTTACTCCTGGGTAGGCTCTATCTGCCTGACAATGGCTTTCTATGGAAAGGGGTTGGTGTGGAGACCAGAAGATGTTGACAGGGGCCTCCAACAGGTAGGGCTGGGTTCATCCTTGGCTAGAGAGGGCAGAAGTGAGGCCATGCAGGGCCAAATTTGGATCACCTCATCCACAAAGCCTCGTACCCTCTTTTCCAAAATAACAGCAATTCAGGGTCCCATCTAGGTTCAAACCAGGGCTACACTAGGTGTGTAGTCTGAGGGTAATACCACTACCCACATCAGAGGGTTTTTTTGTGATGAGGATTGAGAGAGAATACACATTGAGTCCTTGGCACATGATTTACATTCAACAAATTCATAGTTCTGTCAGGCCAAGTTCTTCCTCGAGTGCAGTGGGGCGCCCTTCTCCTTCTACACTTCAGTGCTTAGCTCAAGCCCCACCTCCATAAAAAAGATTGCCCGCGACCTCAGTACTCTCTGAGCTCGAATGATGAGATCATAGAGCCAGAAGTAACTCTGAGAGGCTGCATAGTACAAGCCCTGTATCCTACTACAAGGGAGGAGAGTCAAGCAGAGAAAAGACAAGTGGCTTGCCCTCGGTCATACAGCTAGTGTCCTTTAGTCAGGTCCATTGTTATACATCACTTTCTAGAAAATTCATGTCCGTAACTATATAACTCTTCACGTTGTTTTGCATTACTTAATTGCTCATTTAATCTTTTGGTTTTGTCTCTGTTGGGGCAGAATCTATAATTCTGCATGCCCCATAGTGTCTGGGACAGAGCTGGGCTCACACAAGATACTCAAGAAGTACTCGTGAGCAAGAGCCATGGGGTGGCTCTGATTTTCCTATATACCTCTGTAAGATTTGGGGCAAATATCCTTTCACACTTTCTAACTGGCTAGAAACTTGACGTGGCCAAGGCCCATGAATAGAGCAGGCCTTTCAGTCACCGGAAAGAGGACACAAAGGGAGACCTGCACAGCCAGCAAAGGGCATCTTTGGGAGATGCCCGTAGACAAGACCAAGCTCCCTGCCTGGACTGCCCAGCTACCCATAATGGGTGATTTCCCAGGACTGGAGGGGTCAAACTTTTTGCCAGTTAAGACTTTCACTCCAGGCCCACAGTCCTGGGTAGGAAGCACTCAAGATGAGAGACATTCTGTCATTCCTACCTACCCACCCGTCACTGTTTAGGCTGTCCCAATCCTTAGCAGGCCCCCTGGAAGCGGGAGGAGGTGGTACAGAGACAAAGTATGATACAGAGGCTGCAGCCCTTACCTGAGTGGCTTCTGCTGAAGCATCGGACAGGGCTTCCCACTTAGGACAACGGCACTAGAAACAATGCCTGGGAGACCTGGGCCCAATTCAGTTCATCCTAGGCCTGTTTGCCCACTTTGCCTCCCAATCACCACCCCCTCCTCCATCCTCCATAAAAACAAACAAGAGGAGCTTGGTGAGGGGCATGTCATCATTTAATGATGTAGATCTTTGGTGTTTCCCTCATTAGCAGTCAGACTATCCCCTCTCCTCCCACCACAATGTTTCTATGAGTTACAAACAGAAATCACATTTTCATACTAAAAACAAAATAATCAGAGCCTTGATTTTCTCCACTAGAAACTACACGTACAGTTCAAGATTCCACATGCAACACCTTAAATCACAGACCAAGACCTCACATTCTGACCTGGAGTCTCATCCCCTCTCCCAGCCTTGGGCTGGCTTTGGCCTAGGCTCAGGTAATACTGACACCCACAGGTGCTGCTCTGAGGGCCTTAGGGGATGGGGTGGGAGGAGCTTGGTGGACAAGCCCTGGGGGCTGGCCAGCCCACATCCCCCACTCCTGAGTGAAGACCTACCCACCATCCCTGGACTCCACCCTATAACAGGCAAGCAGGCCGCCCCTTCACGCCATGGTTGTCCCCCATTAGCAAGTGCAGAAGTCCCTGTCCTCAGGAGTCCGGAAGCCTGGCCTGGCCCCTGACAGTGGTCTCTGTGGGGTAAGGTGAGAGAGAGGCTGGAGCTTTGGAAGGCTCAGGGATGGAGATAGTTTCTGGGGGCCAGGCCATTCCTCCTGCTCTTGGGCTCCTAGTGGCTCTGCCCACACAATAGGTGGACAGGACAAAGCTGCCCATTGGCCACTGTCTGGGGTGGTGTGGCCCACATCTGGAAGACAATTTACCCTTCTGGGGCTCTCTGCCGAGGGCTAAGCCCCTTGAGCCCTGTTTCTAGGAGAAAGGGGGGTTCATGGCAGGGATAACCACTTCTTCCTCCATTCACACTCAGCACAGCAGTGTGACTCCCCTTGGCTCCAGCTCCTGGAAGGTTCTAGTCCCCTGAGGCAAGCCTTGCCCATTCGACTGCTTTGCGCCTGCTGACTCTGACTTCCTCGCGACCCCCCACCCTCTCACTCCTGTTCCCTGCTGCAGCCCGAAGCTCCTCCGCGTGTACAGCTCCCAGTCAGCTGTGAGGTCCGGTTTCTGCTCAGCGGTCCGAGGGGAAGCACCAGTGCACACGTTTGTCTCTACCTGTTCCGTGGCTCCCCACTGGGGCCAGCAGCTTCCCCCCTGCTGCTGCCACCACCGCCAGGAAGAGGGTTATTATTGGTCAGGTTGCAGTGCAGGGTTGGTCCCTCAGTGCTGGGAAGGGGAACAGGAGTAGGGGCAGGGGAGGAAGAGGGCAGGGGTGGCTGGGGTGGCTCCCGCCCAGGGGTACCAGGCTGGTCCCAGGAGGCTGTCCGAGGGCTTAGGCCTCGCTCTGCCAGTTGTCCAGGTTCCGGGAGCAGTCCCCGAGAGGTGGAAGGCTGGGGCGAGGAGGTACGGGCGGCACTGGGCTCAGTGCCTGTCTGGGAGCTGCGGTGAATGCGGTGGCTGACGATGATGTTGTTGCCGAAGCCACCCATGGAGGCCATGGTGGTGCTCTGCTCCCGCTGCACCACAGCTGTCATGCCC